AAAAAAAAAAAAAAAAAAAAAAAAAAAAAAAAAAAAAAAAAAAAATAGCTATTTCTTACAGTTGTATGGATAGGCAGTTTTAACCAAGGTCAGGTGGGTGGTTCTTCAGGTCCTGGCTAAGTTCCTTTATCTGTCAGGTCAATTTGGCAGTTTAATTTCAGTCAATTTAGGATGACTTCAGCTCTGCCCCACATGCTCTCATATTGCAACAGGCTAACCTCGGCCTATCCTTATGCACATGGGTGCACGGTCTGAAGACACACCAAAGTAGGCAGAGCCTCTAGAGGCCTGTGTTCAGAATTGGTACCTATGCTTCTTGCAAAGTATTGGCCAAGAAGAGTCATAAGCCCTTCCCAGATACAAGGGGAAAGGAAATAGACTCCACTTTTTTAAAAGTTATTTTTGAAGTTTTAATGTGATATAATTGTTAGTATATAAATTTCATATATCAGACCTAATTTGGTACATTTTGTGTGTTGTGTCTTGTGTGTATATGATGTGGTGTGTGTACTTACTAGTGTGTCCTGTGCATGGGTGGGTATGGTTGCTCATTGCATGTCTGTATGTGTGGTCAAAGATTGACATTGGGTCTCTCACTGAACCTGAAAGCTTGTCTGTTTAGTTGGACTGGCTGGCCAGTGAGCTGCAGGGATCCACCAGGCTCTACCCTCTCTCTCCAATGCTGATCCTCATGCTTGTGTGGCAGACACCTAACTGACTGATCCATTTCCCCAAGCCTGTAACTGATACATTTTAAAATATTCATTTATCGTGTACAGTGTTCTGCCTGCAGGGATGCCTGCAGGCCAGAAGAGGGCATCAGATCTCATGGATGGTTGTGAGCCACCATATGGGTGCTGGGAATTGAACTCAGGACCTTTGGAAGAGTAGCTAGTGCTCTCAACTGCTGAGCCGTCTCTCCAGCCCTGTAAACTGATATATTTGTCATTGTGTGTAGGACAATGACACCACACTCATAAGGTAGTGAACCAGCTGCCACCCCAGTGTGTTCTGTACCCCTCATGACATCTCATTCTCTGCTCCCATCACTGCTTTGACACATATCCTCAAACAACCACTGACCTGTTTGGGGCCACTGTAGATTCACTAGCTTATATAAATGGAACCACATAGAATGTACCCTTCTCTTTTAATTCTGTGAAATTTATTTAGTTGTATCTGTCTGTATGAGCTTGTGTGAGTATGTGTGCCACGGGGATTCAGTGCCCACAGAAGCCAGAAGATGGCATTACATACCCTGGAACTGGAGTTGCTGGTTGTGAGCTGCAATGGGGGTGCCAGGAACCCAGGTCCTCTGAAATTACAGTAAGTACTCTTCATCACTGAACATCTCTCCAGCCCTAGCCCCAACCTCTTAAAGGTGTGGACACAAAGTCAAGTCACACAATAAAGCACATGGATATTGGGGAGGAATGGAGATCATGGCTACTTTTACAAACTACTATATGTGCTATGAGACCACCCTCAAGGTGGGCATTTTTCACTTCCAGATTTTTACACTTATATGACATAGGCGATAGATAGATAGATAGATAGATAGATAGATAGATAGATAGATAGATAGATAGATAATTTATCTTTGAGTATTATGGATCGAATTGAACTATTTCACATATATTTTAAAATATGTGGTCTCAGGTATGGTAGCTCATGCTTATAATCCCAACATTTAGGAGGATAATGTAGGAGGATTGCCATGAGTTCAGGCCACTCTGGGCTATAAAGTGAGACTCTGTGTCAAATATAAAAAAAAGATATAAATGTTTTTACTTCAGATATATTCATCACTTCTTCGGTGTTTCCAGTTCTCCATTAAAGCTTCAGATGCAGATGTGAAGGACTTGGAAGTCTGGCTGTACAAAACGAAATTAATCTTTTTTGCTAAGTCAATATTAGCAAATACTTACCAAGGATGGTGGATGTGTGTTGGCTTCTAAGTCCCACTAGGGGGCAATGTGATAATGTCTCTGCTCTTTTGAACCATTTCTTTGGAAAGACCCTGACTACTTTGAAAGGAAATAGGACTTGAGATCTATTGATTGTTGTTCCATATTATGTTTTCATAAACTGACTGTTCAGGTTCTGGGGAGAGCTGTATCTGAGCCTCCTGCAAGCCCAAAAGATTGAGTTCACCCTAATAGCATCCACCTCTCCTGTAGACCGACTTCACCCTCAGAGCATCCACTTCCTCCTGTGGATTGACTTCACCCTCACCGCATCCACTTCCTCCTGTAGACCGACTTCACCCTCACAGCATCCACTTCCTCCTGTGGATTGACTTCACCCTCACAGCATCCACTTCTTCCTGTGGATTGACTTCACCCTCA